AACCCAACTGCGGAATCAGAATCAACGTTGAGTTTAAGCAAACGAATGAGCCGATTGGAGTAAAGTGCTATGCAAATTTAAATTTTTCCCACTTGTGACGAATGCAGCTATTGATTTTTTTTTTGCATGCTAGCATGCTAGTTAACATTCGTGTCAGTCAGCTGTTGGCTCTCACGCTGGCCAATAGAATCTTCCTGCCTTTCGTGGCAGTCAGCTATTGGCTCTCACTCTGGCCAGTACACAAAATGGCCGCAAACTACATGAAAACTGCCGATCGATTATAATCGATTATTTCCACTATCGATGGGAGTTGGGAAATGCAAAGTCGGTCTTGGCCTTCGCGCTAACTTGGAGCATGTGCATGTAAAATTTGGTGCAAATCCGTCGAAAATTACGGCCGTGCATTCGTTACACACACACACACACACACACACACATCCTGCCTTTTATAGGTAGAGATATCAGGTGATTGATGGACGAAGACCGAAGAAAATTGACTGCAGATGTTCTTGATGAAGTTAAAATGAAGATACGGGATACATGCAAATTAAAATTACAACCGTTAAAATTTGCAATAGAATTTACAGTGACGTGAATAGGATATCTGCAAAAAAAAGCCAAAATAGGAAGAAAATAGTGTATGCATATTGAAGGAATGGCAGAAAAATGACATGCTTGCAAAAATGGACATCTAAAAAACGAAAAAGAATTCTTGTTAATAACAACAAAAAATGATTGAATTAAGATAATATAAAATCTAAGACACGGTACAGTAAAAAAGGAAATGCAGATTATGTGGCGACAGAGCCTGAGAATACAACAAAATGGCCCAGAAAGAGTAAAAAAGGGCTTAACTGCTTGTGAAGTGTGATCTGTTAGGAATTGTGCAAACAACCATTCAAATCAACAGTAAAAATTCAAACAAGAGTTCAAAGCACAAACTAGACATGACACTATGAAATTCAAACGAATCGAATTTCCAAACACAGACTCAAAGGCCAGATTTAGTTATCGTAAAGAAAGCAGATAATGGATTTTGCAACCCGTGTAGATCCCAGAGTAAAAGTAAACAAGTATATAAATCTTGCTAAAGAACTGGAAAATTATTGAACATAAAGCTGGAAATAATTTTCATGATTATTGAAGCTTTTGAAAAGCGTTTAGGAAGAATTGTACCATTGAAAGAACAACTAGAATGTTAAGGAGGATGCTGGAGATTAGATAATTTATTGTCACCTAATCTCTAGTGAAAAGCAACGGATAGCTGCTGTAAAGAAACAAGTAATGAAAGAAACAATAATTTGAACGTAGATTCGCAGGTGTTGGGTTAAAAAAGAGAGACAGAATTCCTATTAATACCATCCCAAAATAATTGGTTTGGTTTGGTTTGTTTTACGGCATATCAACCACAATGGGTTATTTAATGCCGACAATTTTTATTGCTGGTAATATTTTTCTTCATGAATGTATTGCTGGTAATTTTTTCTTTCAAAAATCTATGTCTGGTAATATTTTTTCCTTCAAAAATATATTTCTGGTAATATTTATTCTTTAAAAATCTATTTCTGGTAAAATTTTTTCATTCAAAAATCTATTCCTGGTAATATTTAAAAAAATAAAATGTATCGCTGGTAATATTTTTTTCAAAAAATGTATAGCTGTTAATTGTTTTTCAAAAATGTACAGTTTGGTTTGGTTTGTCTTGTTTTACAGCATATCAATCACAATGGGGTTTTTAATGCCGAAAAGATTTTTATTGCTGGTAATATTTTTTTTCCAAAAATGTATTGCTGGTAATATTTTTTTTCTCCAAAAATGTATTGCTGGTAACATTTTTTCTTCAAAATTCTATTTCTGATAATATTTTTTCTTCAAAAATGTATTGCTGGCAATAATTTTTCTTCAAAAATTTATTGCTGGCAATAATTTTTTACAAAGTATTTCTGGTATTAAAACCTATCTTTACACTTTCATAGTGTTTTGACCCCAGTTTCCATAGCTGAGACCCTAATAGGTGCTACCACCCCCTGGTCCGGGTAGACCTGGGAATGCTAGCAATTAAGAGATGGTTCCACGCTCTTCAAAATCTGATCAGAGGCCTTACTGTTGGATGTAGTTTATCGTCTTACCCAGGACACCAAAATAATTGTATTAGAAAAAAAGACAAGATAGACAAGACACGGCAGAAGAGTAAATGTCACTTGTGCCTTTAGAGAAATGAAACGGCGAATCATATTTTTAACAAGTTGAGTCAGAAAGAATACAGAAACAGACATGACTGAGTGGGAAAGAGGCTCCATCTAGAATTGTGCACATAAACGTGATTCACATACCAGAATCTGTCTTAGAGCAACATTCCATTTGACTTTGAACTCCAAACTTGATTTGTTCCTTACCTTCTCTCTTGTAGAGCATCACAACTCTGTTCTCTTAGCAATTCGAATTACGCTGTTGATATTTCTTTTGAGTCGTCTATTAGACAGGAACCTCCTCTTCACAAGATTTCTTTCTGTTACCAGCGTACTGATTGGAATTCTTTTCGTAACTTTTCTCGTTCTTCACTCCAGACTGATATTCTTAACCTACATATTGAGATTTGTTTCACAGAGGTTTCTTCATGGATTAAAGACGGCATCGATGTTTCCCGGAAATAATAGGTGAAAGCACAACTTTCTCCTTGGTTTATACGTACATATTCAGCTGCTATAACCCACAGGAATCACTTTTTTTTCCAGCTGAACCAACGTGATGCCTACTTGTAATAATTGTAAAGTATCATCAAAAGAGCTATGTCTGTTGACAGAATGGGATACCTTATAGACTCTAACAAGTTTAGTTCTTGTGATTATTAGCGGCTATTTTAAGTCTTCAATAACGTTTTCCTTATCTGTTTGTTCACTAAAAAGGGCTGTTAAAAAGCTTTTAACTTATACCCGCATATACTAAAATTGCTACACTTGTTCGTCTAGTACATTTTTTTGTGATTTAAACTGTGCTGTTCAAATATAAATCTGGCACAATTGTGCGTTTGTTGGGCGCCATGTCAGTGCCTTAGTATCACGTGGTCACTGCTCACCTCAATCAAATTTCTATGTTGATTACTTATTACTGCATCAATGACTGAAATCGACTGGTTGATCAACTTTACAAGCCTTCAAATATACTAAATATTTGGGACGACGACAAATAATTGATTTTAGGTCGCAATTAAAAAAAACAAAAAAACAACACCTTCAAATAATAATTGATATAAGAATACTTCTGTTCTCTCTTTTCACGTTCGTCGATTTATTCTTTTTCTTTTTAAATTTCTTCTTGAATCTGACATTTCGTGAAAAATTTTTATTTGTTTCTTTTACTTACAACGTTTTGTTTACTTTTGTTCGTCTCTTCATTTTTCTACTCTCCGTCCATCAACTCCCTTTATTCTTCATCTACTCTTTGTTGACCATGTTCGCCAAGTCTATGAATATAGAATACAGCTCAGTACATAATCTGTTCAATAAAACAACGTTAAAGATTAATACTCACGAGTCAGACACTCTACTGGATCTGACTATATCGCCAATACCACCAGCAGCTGTTCCGTAATTCTTCAGTCTTCGATATCAGAGGTTGGCAGTCAGTGAATATTCGGGAAAAAACATGGCTGCCTTTATACACGTCGCATTGAATATTCTGAGCCTTCTGATTGGTTAACCCTTCTATTGGTGAACTATAAAATGAGTCAGCTCATTTTGGCTGGCTCATTAGTACTAGCTACCCAAAAATTCCAACACTCAATTATAAACGTATTATTACCATCATATATTTTATATTATGTGGTATACGTCAAACTCTCGTTCTTATTTCTCTTTCGGATATATGGAAGACATTAACATTAACATTAACATTTCGGATATATGGAAGACATTAACATTAACATTAACATTAACATTTCGGATATATGGAAGACATTAACATTAACATAACTGCTTTCAACATGATACAAGAAAAAATGATCAGTGATGGTCCTGGGCTTGTAAGTAACAAGATCCATCTAATTTGTCTCTACTTAATCTCGCAGGAACTCGTCAATGCCACCCCTTCACTGAGGTGCTGGATATGGCGGTCAAACCCAGGATCGAGTTGATAGTCTTACGTATTCCAGCGGAGTATTGCTCTCTCTTACACTTATTTCAAGAGCGGCTTGTTTAAAACCTTTACGATCATGCTATCCACAAGATTAAATATATGAATAATAATTATTATTATTTGAATATTTGAATTTTGGAGACAATATTGTGATAGTTTGTGTTTCAATTTTTGGCACAAAACCTTACACCTGCTTGTATTTTGTTGTCTTTAAATATCCCTGAAAAATAAAAACGGTTTCAATATAAATTCTATATTATCGAGAATATAGCTCAGCTGCTGAATATTTAATCTTTTGGGACGGTCCGAATACTACCTAAATTATTTTTTCAGTGGCGACTAGTGTAATGCGATTGTTAACTCGCTCATTTCGCAGTGTAGCTAGTTTGAGCCTTCTTTGTTCACTAATAATGTGACATTGTCCCAGATTAAACTAAGATTAGTAAATAAGTAAAAGTTTTCAGTGGTTCAACCAAAGTGATTTTAGTGAGGGAGACTTAATACGTCTGTTAATGGGATTTCTTGCGCCTGTTATTACTAGGACCGTTGTCAATCTTAATCTTTTCGATCTCAATATTTTAATCGTTTTCATTTACTCCTCTGTGCTTTTCACGTTCATTGACTTTTAGTGGCGCATGGAATATAACATTGTACCTTATCTTGTTTGTTTTCTTTAATTATAATACATAGTCTGCATTGACGTCCTATTTGCTTTATAGTATATTGTTAACAGGTACTGAAGCCGAAACATTATCTCGTGAATACTCGCCATTGGAAAGTTATTAAGCATAAACACTAGTGAATATTGTATTCAATTTATATCAATTGTTTCTTCTTATACGTATTCTCATTTTTATTTCAAACAGGGATGCAAAATATAGAAAAGCTCAAGAATTGAATGCGATTGATGATATGATCTTTGAACCCAATACTGATGACAACTATTGCGTAAACACCAGCGGCTACAACTTCGGTCCCGAAGCAGTGAAATCCTTTTCAACAAGCAGCGGAACTAGCTGTTTAGGTAAAAATATAAGAGTAGCAGCCAGTACAGTAAAAATTCCAAATCCATCCAACGAAACATATTCGTCTGTCAACGGCTCTTCAGCCTCTCCAATGCTCACATCAACTACTCCTGAATTTGGCATTATTTCGAGTTTAAGAGGATATAGGAGCGATGACAATGATAAGAATCTTGAAAACGCTAGTTCTAACAACTTGAATGGTCTTAATCCTTCATCGTCGCCAATCTCATCATCCTCTCTTTTGGACGGCGCTTCGTCTTTAATTCAAGAAATAAACACGGAGTCCACCAATTCAGCACCTATCACTAATGAATCAGGCACTTTGACTTCCTCCCAACTAGACCAAACTGACACACCGACCAATAGAGAAGGAAACGTTAGTCTCATCATCAACAGGTCCACTTCACTTAGCATTGATGCAAATATAAATCTTCATGACACTGCTGACACCGAAAGAATTCTTAATAGAGATTCCTCAAATAATACGCTTGAAAATCAGCAGGTAAAGCAATTTACTCGTTTTCACTTTAATCAGTATTGATTTTTTTTCTAATGCGATAAATGAAGTTTTCTCTTAACTCAAAAATATTTGCTTTTCTGTATAAATCTTTTTAAAATGCTATCGATTACACATAACCGGTCCCTATGAAATCAGGTAAATTAACGATTTTAAAAAATCCACCGTTCTTTATTCAAAATAACTAGTCGATTTGATCGGTAGTGAAATTAAAATTAATTCATGGAAATTAGTAATGCATCAAACTTTTGCAATCTCAGAAATAGTTTCTTTAAACTATTTTTGATAATGCCAACTTAAGATATAACGAATTAAAAACGATGTTCATCTGTACAAGTGAGTACGAAAAATTTCACAATGTGTCAAGGAAGCCTCTTGCCACTAAAATATGATGGTCATTTAATTAGATCTTGGGAGGTGGGTCAAACCGAAAACTTTTCAGCATCGCTCATAAACGAATCAGAATTCAATGTAAATGTTAGCAAGACTCAACAACAGACTTTCGTTAAGAGAACAATTTTAATGATTCCGCTTCAATCTAAGCTGAAATCTCGCAAATATTCGCTAAAAGTGATATGTTGTATTTAGGAACGTATTCAATGAATGGCATTCTACTGATGTTAGTATTCGCATTCACCTTATCACGAAATTGATAAAGCAGTCAAAAGAAAAGAGAAAATATTTCATTTCTGACTTCAGAAAACATTATTAAGGAAAAGTACTTTTTAGAAATAAAAAAATTGTCCTGAAATCATGTAGTGCCAAGAATTCCATTCATAATTAAATAAATGTACAGGTAAAACTGGAGAAATACATAAAACACTTGTAAAATCTTGCAAAATATGTACCTCAGTATACTATACATAACATTTGTAAACCAAGCGTATATATAAATGCACGAAATAACATGCATGTAAATATTCTTATAAACTCATATCCATATATCTATGTCTCTCTATCTATATAATTAAAGGAATTCATAACATATTCACGTTTTCACTTAGGGCACCTCGAGGCGGTGTAATGGTTAACAAGCTTGTCTCGCTACAACAATTACAACTGAGCAGTGGGTTCGATCCTCACAGGGTGCCCCATACTTTCGCCCTTGTGCTACATCTAAGCTATGCTTAGAAAATCATTTGGGCACCTCGAGGTGGTGAAATTGTTTGCTAGAACAATTACGACTGAGTAGTGAGTTCGATCCTCACTGGGTGCCCCATACTTTCGGCCTTGTGCCACATTTAAGAAATCACTATTCACGTTTTCACTTATCGCAACGTTTACATGTTTAGGTATGTGTGTGTATTTTAAGTCGGCGAATATTTATGCGTATAATGATATTTATAAAGATTTGAAATGTAATAAAATGCATTTACCTAATGTAAACTCCGGCCTTCACTCAATGCAAGAGAGCTATTAAACCAGCAGAGGGTAGGAAGCAAAGAAACATAAGAAACATAGGATATATACACAGTTTGCAGATTATTTACATTATTCGTTACTGTCCTCATCTTTGTCGCCATATTTATCACAACGTTTCGGCCTTCTTCAGGTGGTTGGAATGTCGAACTGAACCCTTTATTTCGCTCACTGGGGTAGACTGTTTTAGTTCCACGTGCCATGTTTGATGGATGTCAGTTATCAGTTATCTCCTGTTAATTTCCCTCTGAAAGTTCTCCACTGCCTTAACCGGGTATTGAACTCACACTCTTTGGGTCCTATCACTGGATCTAACCAACGCCTATATCCACTGTGCCATGTCCTGGGTATGAATTTCTGGGTATTATAAACCTAATGAAGAAGGCCGGAGTTTGCAACGGCCGAAACGTTGTGATAAATATGGCGAAAAAGATGAGTCCGAACAATGTAAATAATGTACATAATACCTCATCTCAGAAATATAGACAGACAGTTTTCAGATGTAGACACGAATATGCGCAAGTATTTTTATGCAAAAATATTGTGTGCATTAACATTTCGTAAATTTCATCCCTGACTAAATGTTTTGGCGCATATTCGTAGAGCAATAGTTATCAAGTTAATTTCGAAGCTATTGTAAGTGTAGCGAGTTTATCACCATTGGCTAATATTGTAATCCTGTAGCATTGGTTAATTAATAATCTGAATATGATCTTTACTTCATAACATTAGTATTAAATGATGTATAGTGAAAATTGTGTATATCAAATGTAAAGCAAAAATAAATGAATAAATAAATGTTAAAGATTATACTTGCTAGTACAAACATTACATTCTTATGAAACCTGTATTATTAGAGATATAATTTATTGAATCAATATATGAAAACTTTTATGCATTTCATTGATTATATATAATAGTGATACATCATATTTTGGCTTTCGAGAGAAAATGAGAAATTAATTCAAGTTTTATTTTAGCCATTGAAACTCGAAACTGCATTTGAACCCGGTATACTGAGGTATAGTTCCACTTTTTCGTATTGCCCACTTTCTTTACCAATACTTCACTAATATCCGTTTAACTATAGCCATTTTATTCACAAAGAAACTAAATATTTTTAGACTAGGAAAGGAAATTGATGATGAAACACGGAATTTTGCTATTTTTAATCTAAAATTTGGTTTTGTCATTTTCGGCACTTAATGTGTATATCCTGTAATTAGAAAGATAAGTCAAAGAGTTATTATAAATGACTAAGTATTAAGGAAAACCCTATCGACAGAAAATTCCTTTTTATAACTGATTTTCTTTCTTTTCTTAATTTTAACAATTATTACATTTTATTTGATTGAAAACTAATATTAACTATGTGTGATGTAGAAAAGAGTAATTTTAGGAATGTTTGGAGTAATTTCAAATTAATGCATTTCTATTTAAATTACAATTAAGTATGTTTACATGAGCAATGGGCAAGTAAAAAGGTAAACTGTCAGAGAAAATAAATGATTAAATTATACTGATAAATTAAAAGGGAAACTTATCAAAAATGCATAAATATTTATATAGTGTTGTAAATTGTGTGTATAAGCCATAACGAATCAACAGGGACAAATAAAAATACAAAGTACGTTTCTATATGTGTATGCACATTTCTAGCATTACATTTGAATTCAGAAATATGGAAGCTTTTAAAAACCATTTGTATGAACGTGTACGTTGTACATTAAAAATCATATGCACATATCAGTTTTGAAAGACTTCATATTTGGAAAATATCAAGATTTTGTTATATATATATATATATATATTATTTGGAAAATATAAAGGTTTTCTCATGCATACGTACATTCATTAGTACAAGGGTATCATAAAACACCCCTATAAGTAACAAGAGGTTAAAAAAATATTGAAAATATGCCGGAACAAATATTCCGAAGCAAGTTTGTTGTAACAATTCAAATATAGAAGTTATTAATCTGTATATTATTAACAGTTATGTAATATTTGAGAAAACTTGTTTATATAAAAAAAAAAAAGGCTCTATAATGTTAACAGTTTTAGACAGAATAGAATTTTTAAAAATGAATGAAACAAAGAAAAATTTAAAAAAATGAATGAAACAAAGACAAAAATTAATATACGCAGTGATTTATCTTTGACTTATTTTATATATTTATAATTTGACTTATTTTATATATTTATAATAATTATTTCATATATTTATAATAATTTATAAAATTTATTTTATATATTTATAATAATTTATAAAATTTTTAAAAAAAGAATGAAAAAAGATAAAATTAATATACGCAGTAATTTATCTTTGACTTATAAGACAAATTTTAGTCATCCGACTTTTTAACCTGTTTTAACATTAAGCCTCATCTTTTTACTTTCTTTCCTCTGCATTGACTTTGTCTTTCACAGTTTCTCTATCGCCACGTTCGCTTTGTTCCATTCATTTTCAGTTTTCGATCTTTCAGTCTCTTCTTTCATTTCATTTTTCTTCTTTTTTTTTTAAAACTGGTACTGGCACAAACGCCCTATAAACCGCTTTCTATTCCCCCCCTCACTAAACAACAACATAAAGTCTCAACGAGCTAGTCACCTATAATGAAACTCCTTAGGCAATTGACTAACCTAGAAGTATTCACTTGTTTATCTTTCGTCTTAAGTAGCCACAAAAATATGCATATATATATATATGTGTGTGTGTGTGTGTGGAGGTAATATAGGTGTAGTTTTATTTGTACAAACGAAGGAGTCCTCTCTGTGCACCAATGGCATGTCAAGCTGATATAATCGATCATGTAACTGAATGAGAATGAAAAACAAAAAGAGAGCAAAAATGAAAAAGAGGTAAGAGGAAAGAAGTTGGTTGGGATTAAGGCGAAATGCGTAAATAAAAATAAAGAAATGGGAAGCAATAAAAAAAATAATCTTAATAAACTTTGAAAGAAAGAAGGATGATTAAGGAAGAAAGTTGTTATAGTCCAAGTTCCTTGTACCACGGTGATGGTCCAAGGTTAGAACCAATGAAAGAATAACACGAACACAGGTATGGAATACAAAGATATATTACAACAGAAATATAATACAAAGAAATAGAAATATTAGTAATGACTATCAGATTTGATTAGAGTGAACTATGTTGTCTCGACAAATATCACTATTCCAATGTCCTTACAATATGCTCTCAATTATCTCTCCTCGTCTTACAATCTCCCTGATACCTCTTGAGAGGCGCAGTATTTATAATGTCAGGAATAGTCCATTATTATTATGGGTAAGTTCCCATAACAAAAGTACATTGACATATACAAATAACAGAATCACGTCAACTATGTAAAATGAATATAACAATGATTTAATTTTAATGATCTTCTCTAAAGCAAGATTTATTAATAATTACTTTTCAGTAAACATTATATTTGTTTGAGCAGCATCAAATTATCAATGTTGTCTGTCTTAATATTTTCCTTATATATATATATATATATATATATATATATATATATATATATATATATATATATATATATATATATATATATAAAAAGAAA